GTTCAACTCCTTGTAAACAAGAATTAAAACCAATTCTAAGGCTCCAAAAATTAAAGAGGAAGAACACTGCACTTCGAAACTCATAAATTCTATGAGACCATCATACTAAAACTGAAGACAAAAACAAAAAAATTAAACTACAGATGAATTTTTAATGAATATTGATAGAAAATGGTCAACAAAATACTAGCACACTGAAGTTAGCATGTTAAAAGGATTATATACCATGACCAAGTGGGATTTATTCCTGGAATGCAAAAATGGTTCAGTGAAAATAAATCAATTTAATGCACCACATTAACAAAATGAAGGGGAAAAAACCCCACATGATCATATCAATTAATGTCGAAAAAGCATTTGATACCCTTTATATATATTGTATAAAAATTTAATACCCTTTAATAATAAAAACACTCAACAAACAAGGATAGAAGGTATCTACCTCAAATAATACAGGCCATATATTGAAAACCCACAGCCACCATCATAGTCAATGGTGAGAGACTGAAAGCTTCTCTAAGATCAGGAGCAAGGCAAGGATGCTCACTTTTGCCACTTCTATTCAACATAGTACTGGAAGTCCTAGCCAGAGAAATTAGTCAAGAAAAAGAAAGAAAACACATCTAAATTGGAAAGGAAGAAGTAAAATTATCTCCATTCACAAGCAATGTGATCTTGTATGTAGGAAATCTTCAAGATTCCGCACAAAAACTGTTAGAACTAATAAATGATTTCAGCACAATTGCAGTATACAAAACCAACACGCAAAAATCAGTTTTGTTTCTATACACTACTAATGAACAGTCTAAAAAGAGAATTAAGAAAGCAGTCCCATTTATAATAGACCAAAAGGAATGAAATACTTAGAAATAAACTTAACCAAGGAGGCAGAAGGCCTGTACACGAAAACTACAAAACATTGCTGAGAGACATTAAAGAAGACACAAAGGGGAAGGCATCCTGTGTTCATGGACTGGAAGGCTTAATATTGTTATTATGTCAATACCACCCAAAGCAATCTACAGCTTTAATGCAGTCCCTATCAAAATCCCAATGATGTTTTGTGCAGAAATAGAAAAATGCATTGTAAAATTCATATGGAATTTCAAGGGATCTTGAATAGCCAAAATGATCTTGAAAAAGAACAAAGTTGGAAGCCTCACACTTTCTGATTTCCAAACTTACTACAAAGCTACAGTAATCAAAACAGTGTTGTACTGGTATAAAGACAGACATATAGACAAAAGAAATAGAATGAAGAGTCCAGAAATAAAACCTCACATATATAGTTGTATTAGTCATCTAGGGCTACCATAACAAAGTACTACAGACTGAGCAGCTTAAACAACAGAAATTTATTTTCACACATTTGTGGAGGTTGGAAGTCTTAGATCAAAGTGCCCACTAATTCGATTTCTGGAAAGGGCTCTCCTTCTGCATCCATATATGTTCTTTCCTCTATGGTGCATGGAGAGAGAGTGCTCTTCCCTCTTCTTACAAGGACATCAGCCCTATGAGATTAAGGCCCCACCCTTATGACCTCACCTAACCTTTATTTATTTATTTATTTATTAAAAGATTTTATTTTTCCTTTTTTTTCCCCAAAGCCCCCCGGTACATAGTTGTGTATTTTTAATTGTGGGTCCTTCTAGTTGTGGCATGTGGGATGCCACCTCAGCATGGCTTGACGAGCGGTGCCATGTCTACGCCCAGGATTTGAACTGGCGAAACCCTGGGCCGCCAAAGCAGAGCGTGTGAACTTAACCACTCAGCCATGGAGCTGACCCCTCACCTAACGTTTATTACCTCCTTCCAGGCCATATCTCCAAATACAATTACACTGGGGGTTAGGGCTTCAACATATGATTTTGGGAGGGGGGGAAGGGGGACAATTCAGTCCATAACAATGTTCAAATGATTTTTGACATGTATCATGGCCATTTAATGCAGAAAGGTCAGTGTTTCAATGAATGGTGTTGGGAAAACTGGATAACTGCATGCCAGAGAATGAAGCTGAACCCTTACCTTACTCTCTATATGAAAAAATGAACCCAAAAGATCAGAGACCTAAATGTAAGACCTAAAACTATAAAAATCTTAGAAGAAAACATAGGGAAAAAGCTTCATGACATTGGATTTGGTAACAATTTCTTGAATATGACACCAAAACACGGGCAACAGGAGTAAAAATAGGTAAGTTGGACTTCATCAATATAAAAACTTTTGTGCAGGGGCCAACCCCATGGCCAAGTAGTTAAAGTTCCATGTGCTTCACTTCAGCGGCCCAGGTTCACAGGTTTGGACCCTGGGCGCAGAGCTACTCCACTCATCAGCCATGCTGTGGAGGCATCCCACATAGAAAATAGAGGAAAACTGGCACAGATGTTAGTTCAGGGACAATCTTCCTCACCAAAACAACAACAGCAAAAAAACTTGCGTGCATCAAAGTGCACAATAGAGTGAAAAGAAAACTCATAGAATCGGAGAAAATATTATAAATCATCTATCTGATAAGAGATTAATATGCAGACTATATAAAAAACTCCTGCAACTCAACCACAAAAAACAAACAACTGAGTAAAAAGTGGGTAAAGAATTTGAATAGACATTTCTTCAGAAAAGATATACAAACGGCAATAAGCACATGAAATGTGCAATATCACCCATCATTAGTGAAATGCAAATCTAAACCATAATGTGATACTACTTCACACCCATTAGGATGGCTATTATCAAAAAACAAAAAGGAAAAGAAAAGAAAACAACAAGGGTTGGCAATGATGTGGAGAAATTAGAACCTTTGTGCATTATTAGTTGGAATGTAAAATGGGGCAGCTGCTGCGGAAAATTTCCTCCAAAAATTAAATATAGAATTACCATATGATTCAGCAATCCCACTTCTGGGTATATACTCAAAATGAGTGAAAGCAGGGACTTGAACAGATATTTGTATACGTACATTCATAGCAGCATTATTCACAATAGCCAAAAGGTGGAAGCAACACAAGTATCCATCAATGGATGAATGGATAAACAAAATGCGGTATATACATACAATAAATATTATTCAGCCTTAAAGTGGAAGGACATTCTGACACATGCTACAACATGGATGAACCTTGAAGACATTATGCTAAGTGAAATAAGCCAGTCACAAAAGGCCACATATGGTATGCTTCCATTTATATGAAATACCCACAATAGGCAAATCCATAGAGATAGAAAGCAGATTAATAGTTGCCAGGGCCTGTGGTGAAGGATGAGTAGAGAGGAAATGCTTAATGGTGTGGGGTTCCCCTTAGAGTGATGAAAATGTTCTTGAAGTAAACACTGGTGACGGTTGCACAACATTGCAAATGTGCTAAATACTACCAAACCATATACTTAAAAATAGTTAAAAGGGGGCTCGACTGGTGGCAGAGTAGTTAAGTTCCTACACTCCACTTTGGTGGCCCAGTGTTTGTGGGCCCGGATCCTGGGCGCAGATCTACACATGGCTCATCAAGCCATGCTGTAGTGGCGTCCCACATACTAAATAGAGGAAGATTGGTACAGATGTTAGCTCAGGGCCAATCTTCCTCACCAAAAATATAGTTAAAATCGTAAGTTTCATCTTACATGTATTTTATCATAGAAAAAAATCATATTACGAACCTGAACAGAAATTTTACAAATTATATATATATTTTTTTTTCTAGTACATGTTGAAATAAATATAAAAGCATTAAAACGTAAAAGCTAATGAGTATGCCATCTGAAATGATTTCATGAACTCCCACTGGTACCCTTTAAGAAATGTTGGTTTAAAGGTTCAGTAAAGTATCATTGAAGAGAGGCTCTGGTTCATGTCTCAGCTGTATCACTTATTATCTGTGTGATCTTAACTTTTCTAAATCTAAGATTCGTTATTGCACAATCTGTATGAGTACCACGTCACAGGTTTCTTTTGAGGGCTAAAGATAATAATTTACTTCCTACTTTTAGAGGGCAGGCTGACACTTAATAAGCATTCAGGAAGTGATGGCTACTTTTATATTATTACTTTTTAAATTATCGACAATTTTATCTGTCTATGGGCCAAAGAGGGGGAGGAGAGTTGATCATAGGCTCGTAATTGTGCATTTTCTGGAACTTTTGCCCCTTCAAAATTTTGCTGACTGGAGTACTGAGGGGAAATTTGCAGGTCAATATTAATTAATGTGTTTTTTTTAATCTGCTGACATCGGGAGTTATTTGAATCAAGAGTCAATTTGGACAGTATAGAAATTCCCACATTAGGCCCTTTAGCTAAGGAAGGTGTGGATATTTCCAAGCACAGAACTTCGGCCAAGCCCTATGGAAGGAGGATATCAAGGATCTGCAGAGCACTTGGCTTCCCCAGGGAGAGGTAATCTGCTAATCTTAAATCCAGTAAGATTGAGAAGACCTGACCCAGCAGTGGAGATAGTGAGACCAGAAGCCTACAGAGAAAGGCCTTGCTCTCTAAGCAGTGACCTGCTCCCACCACATCCCCAGGATATTTCCCTCAAGACATCTAAGAGACTCCACAACTGCGGCTCAAACAGCTGTGTGGGTCCTACTTCTCCTCCATGGTGAGGAGCCTGCAGAAAGCAATGGCTCTATCCAAACTGTCCATGCCCTCCTTTGGTCAGGCAGAAATGAGTTTGGTGAAAAATAATTTCAAAGACTGAGATCATTTTCTGTCTTCCTGCAACACTCTTTTCCCACTTCCCTTGCTTTCTTTGGGCTTTAACATGTGGTAAGCTTCCTCAGGGCGATGCTAACAAAAATAAAAAATGCCTGAATTAATAAAACAGTTTACGTGCGTGTGTGAATCTGCATCTGTGTGTCCACACACACACATTCAGTCCATAAGCAGGTGCTCAAATAGAAGAGTAAGGAAACTTGACATCACTGAAAGTAAGTCTGTTGAGATAGCATTGATTAACATTTTTAAAAAAATTTTAGACAGAAAGGCAGAGAAGTGGAGAAATCCTTACCTCATGGTTGCTATGAATTAGGCAGTAGTTCTGCAGTGTTTTGTTTAGCTGAATGGGCTCTTCTGTGATCTTGCCAGCCTGTCTTGTGGATTTGCAGATATATTTAAGCCCCAGGGACATATATAAGGGAGATAAACAGCATCTAATGATGCAACCTGTGGGCATGTTGTTGTGGAGATAAATTGGAAACCGAGATGAAAACTGAAAGTAGAAAGTGCAACTAAAGTTGGCACAGTTTCGCCTTGTGGGAAATGAAACTTAAACAGCAATTACTTTCATTGTTCTATTTTGAAAACTGATTGAGAAGACGCTGGTGAAAAACAGTTTTATTGATGTGCTAATTCTTTTCTCAGGCTCTACAAGGCCTTGTAGAAACCTGGGAGCTAGGAGATGCCAGTTATGTAGAGTCCACTGAACCTAGAGCCAGGGAGACACGTGAAAATTGGCTGTGTCAGTTTGCCAAGGTCATAACCCCTTATCTGTGCCTCTATTTGCTTACCCTGAAACAGAGGTTGTTCTTTTTATGGTATAAAATTCTGCAAATCACTAAACTGGAGTCTTAACCCAAATTTGCCCCAATTCTCTGAGAGGGTGTATCTTACTAATTATTCTGTGCCTTTGCATACCCATCTGGAGAATGGTCAGTGACAAGAAGAGGCCTGTAACCTCTTCGTTATTCATAGGAACAGAGAAAACATACATGCTAGCATCTTGAGACTTCAAACCACCAAATGACATTCAGGCCTAATGAAAATACTTTCTTATTTTTAATGTTTTCTACTGTAGTCATCTAAAGTATTCTTATTTACCAGACATGATTGTCATACCTATGCCAGAACATTTTCCAGTCCTGTAGGTGCCCATGGCACCCAGTCTTGGCCTACCTCAACCTGCCCCGTGTAACCTTCTGTAGTCATGGTATTTGTAGTAAGAGGTTCAGAGGAATGAGTGGTGAGACTGGGGTCCTGGGTACAAGTTAGGCTCCTATTACTGGTGTCTGACAAGCTCCTGTTTCTCCCTACTTTTCATTGGAAATTGTCCCACTCTCCTTATATGTAGTAAAGTGATGATTCCCCAGCAGCTTTTGCAAAGCAAACTTATCCCTAAGCACAGTTAATTTAATCATGGGAAAACCCCCTTATTGAGAGGAGACAATTAGACTTGCTTCCCTGGAAAGCTGAATCTGGGAAGTGTTGGACCTGTGACATATGTATTTGGGTACCATTGTCAGCCATGTTTTTCCATGTGGCCTGAAAATAATAAAAACAGGAAGCTTGTTCACAGAGTAGAATATCAAGTGGCTGAGCTGAGAGAAATAGAGAATTTGAGATGAGTTGGAAGGTTCTGATGATGCCTTTTGTTCACAGCTTGAGCATCAAAAGTCAAGGGGCAAGGACCTTGTGCAGTGTCTTACAGGGTTTCCAGGTGAGTGATGAATTGTTTGAAAACAGATTACCAATGACTAGACCTCAGACCATATTGAGGGCGGTTCCTAGTACTGCAGAAACCCATGGACTGGCCAGGGTTTGGAACCAGATCGGCCTCATACCCTAAAGGAGAGCTTCAGCTGGTCGTTGCCTATCCTGGAGGTTGGTGTCTGGATTCTGGATGACTGCACAGAAAAGGGAGAATTGTGGGAGATAGCCCCATCTTCCGTTAGCCTCCTATATGTATATAAAAGGAATCTACTATAAAATATAAAATGTACTCTTAATTTAGTGACCAGGATTCTGGTTGTTACTTTTGGTGTCAGCTTGACAGAATTAAACAATCCCCCTGGTTCAGGAATGAAGGAAGTAGGCCAAATACCAAAAAAGCCTCTTAATCCCTGATCACTTGGGCAGGAGGAGAAGCAAGGAGCTATGGTTTGGCATAGAGAGCCCTCTGTTGCTCTAGCATGGACACCCATGTTCTGAGTCAAATTCCCACTCAACCTTAACTGTTGTTCTTGGAACTTGAGTTTAAATAATTAGCAACTACCTGGCACCTAGAGCGTACAAGTAAGAGGTGACTATTATTATTAATATTTCCAGTCATCAAGTTAAATAATGCTTTCTTCATAAAAAGCTGCCCGTACTTTGTCATAAAATGAGAAACAGAAGAGGAGCAGCTGCAAGAATGTTTTCCTCTGAGAAACACTTAATCGGACTCACTGCCACATCTCAAAAGTTTCTTCTCATCCCTCCTGCCCAGCTCATCTCCCATCTCAGCCCTTACGAATTCTATAAGCTTCCACTGAGACATCCTGAACTAGTCAGAAAGTTCTGCACGAATAAAAGTTTCTGAATAAATAAGACAGGTTTATCCATGTATTCTGATCAGTGTTCGGGCTATAAGCAAACGCTGAAATAAGTGAATTAGAAAACCTCTCCTTTTTGGGAGCAAGGTGTCTTTGGAATTCTTGTGGAGAAAAGCAATTGGTTTTCTAATTTTCCACTGCACTAGATAGAATGCAGAGAAGCAGACAAAATGTTTACCTTGTCATTGCTGTGAATTTGGCAGTGGTCCTGGTTCTGTGGCACTCTGGCTCAGGCAGATTAGGTTTTCAGAATCTTGCCCATTGTTCCCTTGGGATAAGCAGAGCCATGAGGGACACAAGACAGGACAGCTTTAAGGAGAGAGGAAGCAGCCAACAAAGTCTGCTTGTAGCTGACTGTGTGTGCGTATCTGCTGATATTGCAGTTAGGAAAGAAAAGAAGAACTGGAGAAAGTGAATCTTTTAGAAAATGAAATTTCAGCACTAGGCTCTCAGTCCATTCCCTGGAGTCTAGGACCGGCTTTCTGAGCTATGTAAGCTACTTCACTTCTGTGAGTGTCTGTTTCCTCAGCTGACAAACAAGTGATTTGGAATAGATTATCAGATCTCAGCCCTTACTGCATAGTGGAAAAATCTAGGGAGCTTGTAAGAATAATGCTAACTAGACCCCATCCCAGACCAACTGAATACGTCTCTGGGAGTGAACCCCAAGTCTCAGTATTAAAACGAAACCCTCAGGTGATTTTGATGTACACCTGGGCTGGAACCAGGGCCTAGATGATCCCTGGTGTCTGTTGTATGACCAGAATTCTCTGACTGGGTGATCTCGGGCTCAATCCCTGGACCTATTTCCCTTTCCCTGAGGCCCAGAGTCAGTATCTTCATTACTCTGTCCTTGTTTCCCCACCTGTGTAGTGGGCAATTAAGTCCTCAGTCTCTTCCTGATTCACAGGGTGGCATGGAAAAAGAATGGAATTCCAAGTGTTTTGACCACTATATAAAAAGCATGCTCTTGGTTTTTGAGATTGTTCCTAAATACTTTCTATCACATCCATGGAGAAAGACTCAAAGACACAAGAAGTCTTTTCTTGTGGATGGTCCGATGATTTTCATATCTTCTCATGGGTCTCCAAGGGTCCACTCAGCCCACCTTGACCCTTAGTTTGGCTTACTGCAACATATTCAAGTACTAACTCAACTTTTATCAGTCTCTTTTTTATCATTCTCTGCCTTCAGGCTTATTTTGAGACAGTTACAGACTCAAAGGAAGTTGCAGAAAGAGTCGTATGTACCTTTCACCCAACCCCCCCAATAATGACATCTTGTATAAATGTAGTACAATATGAAAACCAGGAAAATGACACTCTTACTGTATGTACATTTTAAAGATAAAATATATCATGAGTTTGTCTTACAAATTCAAGTTTATATGATTTTTATTTAACCTAATTGATCTCACTTCTGTGTATCTTTCCTCCCAAACTGAATATCTCACTTCTAAGTGATACCAACATTCATGTTATCTATTCCACAATACACTAACAAATAGTCTCAGTATAACAAAATTAACAAAACCCATTAAAATGATTGCTGAGTAGAGTTTAAGATTTTTTTTGCTGGTCTTTTTATCCAAATGATATATTCTTCTAAAGATTTGAGTCAAAGTGTATAGAAAATCACTTGGATTCCTTCTTCTCTATGTAGTTTTATCCTCTATCTCGTCTATATTTTGGTTTGTTTGCTTCATTTTGATTTACTAATGTTTAGATATTGCTTTTTGACCTTTTTATCCTAACATTGTATTATAAACATTGTCAAACGTAGGGAAAAGTTGAGAGAATTTTACAATGAACATTAATTTACTCACTACCTAGATTCTACAGTTAACATTTTACTATATTTCCTTTATTACCTATCTTTCATCCATCAGTTTCTCTATCCATCAATTTATCTTTTTTTGTTGTTGAGTAAGAAGGCAATCAGTATGATTAATTGATAAAACATTTCAGCATGCACATTGTTATGACTTGAGTCATATGTTGTTTACAAGGAAAAGATAATTTCCTGCTCTATTAGTTTTCTTCTGGTTAAATCTAATAAGTCTATTCTTTGTTTAGTATCAACAAAGTTGAAAAGGGTGTTACTTATGTGTTCCTTAAGTGTTGTCTAAATGAGCCACTCATACTCCCCTAGCCTCTGCCATTGGTCAATTCCAGCTCTGAGGGATCAAGGTCACATAAGTCAGCCTTACAATTTCATGACCTGTAGAAGTAAATCCCTCCCTGGTATTTTATTTATTTATTTATTTTTTAAAGATTGGCACCTGAGCTAACATCTGTTGCCAATCTTCTTCTTTTTTTTTTCTTCTTCTTCTTCTCCCCAAAACCCTCCAGGACATAGTTGTATATTCTAGCTCTAGGTCCTTCTGGTTGTGCTATGTGAGATGCCACGTCAGCATGGCTTGATGAGCAGTGCCATGTCTGCACCCAGGATCTGAACTGGCAAATCCCTGGGCCACAGAAGCAGAGCGTGTGATCTTAACCATTCAGCGACAGGGCCCAAGCCCTCCTCAGTATTTTAAAAAATTCTTCGTAGGCTTTATCTTCCCATGGGTTCCTCTATCTCAGGCCTTCTATTGCTACAGAAGTTGTTTCTGTGTTTTTCCAGTTTTGTCAACAGCTAAGTTCCCCAAGTTACTTAAAGGAAGTTTCAGCAGCACTTAACAGTTCTTCAGAGTTGTTTTTCACATCTGTTCCAGGAAGATGAGCACTCACCAGCCAGCCTGAACTGCTCCAAAACCCACCACAAGAATGATACCTGTGCAGATGGGCCAAGAAGTACCTAAAAAGTTACCTTTACTTTATTTTAATGCTAAGATCTCCACCGCAGGAGGAGCTCAAACCTTATTAGCATAGCATCTGACATATATGAAAGCATGATTTCAAACTACGTCTCTGTAAGCTTATACCCACCACTACATGTGATGATGAAAGTTCCATTTTGAATATTCATTCCTCACCTGAGATAAAGACACCTGCTTTCCCTTGCTTGGGGAGCCACGGCTTTGGAAAAGATTCCCCATGGTCTCTTTATGTGCTGCAAATAAAATTTACTTTGTTTGACAACTTCTTCTGGTGAAGGCTTTGATTTCAACTCATCAGGAAATGAACTCACTTTGGTTCAGTAACACTTACACCCAAACAGAGAATACACATCTTTTAAAAATTTCACAAATAAAATACACTCAAAGACTTCATTAACTAATGAAGTTTTTAACTTTACTGAATATTTTTGTTGCAAATATTTTAGGGAGACAAAGGAGAAGATTATATCACACACCACACAGCAAGCACTTAACTGCATTGAGGTATTTTATCTCATTTTCAGCTTGCACATTCTAAACAGTTTTTTCCCTTGCTTTATCTTTCCCCAATACATTGTAACTTTTCTTTGGTGTGAGTAGATGCCCAGGAGTGTGTTTGGAACACGTAGATCCTTTGTGATTGCCAGTAGCGTGAAAAATGTAAACACAAAATTTGAATTTATTCTGAGCTTACAGACTTGGCTCACTGACCAGGAGGTCGTGGCTACAGCAGGGCCTTGGGAAATAGAATTCAGGGTAGAATTGTAGTGAACTCCTGAAGCCCTCTTCATCTCTCTAAGTCTGTCTTTGCTCATTTGCTTTGGTCTTAGATCTTCTAGGTCAACACCCCTAGCCACATGAAAGAGGAACCTCCCTTTTTTTCTTTAATTGTGAATGGGTAGTAGTTTCATGAATTCTCCAAATACAGAATATGTGTGTGCACAAATATGGAGGAATGTGCCTATGTGAGCCCAAGAATCAATGTGTGTGTGTAGAGATGCATGATACATGTATATATGAACAGCCCGTGCTCTTGGTTCAGCATAGAACTATCTCCAGAAATTCCTGCTTTGAGTGTGTGAACTGACTGGCAGGAGTGCCTTTGGACTAATGTGTGGACGTCATGTGGGTGCATGCCTGCAGATGTATGAGTATGTGCTCAGAGCTATACTGGCATGTGACCCTGTGTGCTGGGCCTAGGAGGAGAAGGCTGAAACTTTCCCTGTTTCAGACACCTCTGTTCAGGAGACCAGCTATGCTGAGGATGGAAGCTGCTCATTTCAAATGCAGAGCCGTAGGGAAAAGTGTTCTTGTTGGTCTGGTAGATGATAGATGCTCCAAACAGCATTAATCAGCCTTAGGCAATGAGTACAGGGATGTGTTATGGAAGAATGGATGCTCCTGTCATAGACATGGATGGAAGGGGAAAGAAAGAGAGGGGTCAGCTGGCAGCAGAGTATGTGTTGTGTGAAACTATTTTGTATCGGCATGTTATATGTTTCTGAAGGTAACAATCAGCAAAGTTTTTTGTTATATTTAGTTACGAACACATTAAACAGGTGTGATGAGCTCTATTTCAAAACATGGTGTTCAAGTGAGCAGCCAGCCTCAGAGCCTCCTTATAGCACACTAGGGCTTCACTCACTTGGCCTTTCAATTTGTGGATGAGTCCAAGGAGGCTGAAACTTCCGTAACACGAACATTCTGATGAACAGGTCCTTTAGCCAATTTTTCTAAAACATTGAGAAGTTTTTCTCTGGTATAGGGCATGTGTTCTACTTTTAGACTTTTTAAGATTTTTTTTTTTAATTTCCTTTTCCTCCCCCAAAGTCCCCCGGTACATAGGTGTATATTCTTAGTTGTGGATCCTTCTAGTTTTGGCGTGTGGGATGCCACCTCAGCGTGACTTGATGAGCAGTGCCATGTCCTTGCCCAGGATCCGAACCGGCGAAACCCTGGGCCGCTGCAGCACAGCGTGTGAACTTAACCACTCAGCCATGGGGCCAGCCCCCTAGACCTTTTAAATAATGAGTAATTGCTTTATCTTCAGATTTGCAGTGAAATTCTTGGAAAAGACCATAGGAATAATGAATCTCCTGCAGTAGACTATCATCAGTGATCTTCATGCACAACACTTTCTGAAAAGTGTCCCCAGCCTTTCATGGTGGCCTATTTCTGAATACATGTCAGCAAGGGAAACGTAAACCAACTCAAATGTGGGCCTTAGTGTCAAAATCTTTTGAAATTCCTCTATAGCCAAGCCAACCAATCTGTTGACATTTTTCTCTATCCTGTCGTTTAGGCTGCATGTTTGTAGCTTCCTTTATTTGGATCATTTGTGCTTTATAGCAAAGCCCTACCTGGTGATGCACGAAGGGAGAGGAGGGTATTGCCTTCAAGGCCTCTTTTAAGAGCTGAAGAGCTTTATCCAGAGAGCCTTTTTTTGGCTCAGACTCCCTTGTGGTAAGGTGTGATTATGTACCCGAGTTTTGGCTAGTGGGAAATGGTCAAACATTGCATGTTCCATGAGGCCTGCCCCAGAAAACTTCTGTGTCTGGTCCTCAATTATCTTTTCTTTTTTGTGTGAACTCTTGGAAACAACGTATTAAAGATGGTGGAATCAAAAGACGAAAGGAGTCTTAGTGCCTGAATCACTGGATGGAGGAAAACCAGATGCCAATTAGGAATATCTATTTTTCCTTTTATGTGAATGAGAAGTAAACTTCTATGTTATCTCCCAAGTCATGTTTCAGAGTTAATCTGTGATAACAGCTTGCATCACCCTAACTAAGAGAGATGATCAGAAAGAGATAAAAATGTTTGTACTTTTCTAAATCTCAGATATCATGATCTGTTGAAATTCAGGTTATGCACTTTGTTGGTCTAGACAGTACTTGAATTAATTGTAAAGAGAGAATTGCTAAAACCCTGAGAGAAAGAGACTTTTCAAAAATGTTTCCTATGAGCTTTTAGTCGCTGTGTAGTGAAATGCCCATGCAGGTTAGATATTAGATATTTCCTTTACGATTTCAGTGGTTTTTCTGATAGTGGAAAATTTCCCAATCTGTCTTGGACCTCTGGCTGGTCTCGCTTTGCTGTAATTAGTGATAGATGATGGAATGTGTCTACAACTAGAGCTGAACATCGTCAGCATCAGTCTCCTCCAGCCAAAGACCCACCAGGAACCAATCTGTGGTTGAGCAAGTTGGATATATTCCTCATTGCAGCGAGAGAGGACATACACCACAGGGAACCATAGGATGTCTCAATGAAAGTGTATTATAAAAGGACTTCTCACGTTTGAGCTTGTGTTAGGTGACTTTGAGAAGGGTTTAAGGAATCAAGGCTTTGTTCGGGATTGGATGTTGTCAGGAAGCAGGAATAATTCTATGATTGGGTATCTTTTTTTTTAAACTTTTTATTAAGATTATGATAGTTTACAACCTTGTGAAATTTCAGTTGTACGTTATTGTTAGTCATGTTGTAGGTGCACCACTTCACCCTTTGTGCACTCTCCCCACCCCCACTTTGCCCTGGTAACGACCAATCAGTTCTCTTTGTCTATATGTTTACCTTCCACCTATGAGTGGAGTCATACGGAGTTTTTTTTCTCTATCTGGCTTATTTCACTTAATACCCTCAAGGTCCATCCAGGTTGTTGTGAATGGGACAATTTTATCCTTTTTTATGGCTGCGTAGTATTCCATTGTGTGTGTGTGTGTGTGTGTGTGTGTGTGTGTGTGTGTACCATATCTTCTTTATCCAATCATCAGTTGATGGACACTTAGGTTGCTTCCACGTCTTGGCTATTGTAAATAATGCTGCAATGAACATAGGGGTGCATGGGACTTTTGGAATTGCTGATTTCAAGTTCTGTGGATAGATACCCAGTAGTGGGATGGCTGGGTCATAAGGTATTTCTATTTTTAATTTTTTGAGAAATCTCCATACTGTTTTTCATAGAGGCTGCACCAGTTTGAATTCCCACCAACAGTGTATGAGGGTTCCTTTTTCTCCATAACCTCTCCAACATTTGTCACTTTTTGCTTTGGTTATTTTTGCCATTCTAACAGGTATAAGGTGACATCTTAGTGTAGTTTTGATTTGCATTTCCCTGATGATTAGTGATGATGAGCATCTTTTCATGTGTCTGTTGGCCATCTGTATATCTTCTTTGGAGAAAGGTCTGTTCATGTCTATGATTGGGTATCTTAATAAATCATATTCAGAGGGAAGGAAGACTAGACCAATGCTAACAGTATAATTTGAAAAGAGTAGCAGTCACTCATATTAGGCAGGATAGTGGGCTGTATTGGACCCAACTGAACAAGGTCAATATTCTTCTCTATGTTCAGACAAGATTATGGAGTGGTCTTGTTTTTGTCTTCATCCACTGTGGTCTCAGTGTGGCCTTGTCTGATGTTGATATCATGTGAAATTGTTTGTGTGCTACAGGAGAACACTGAGTCCTTTCTATGAATGCCAGGTCATGTTCTAGCAACACCAAGGCCTATCTGATAGTGCTGGGCTGGTTCCCAGATGTCCAGGGCTCTATTTCTTTCTCCTCAGGAAACTTCTACATGATTGATCCAGCAGACAGAGAGGTACCCTGACCCTTCTAAGGTCAAAGATCATATAGACAAGAAGGAACACCCAGAAAAGGAATACCAAACAAGAAATGTATCTATTTTAAGTATTGCCAGTTCAAATATGCAGATGTCTTAGGGAAAGGCATGCTTGAGAAGAGGTGTGGTGTAAGATCTCTCTCTGTGTGAATGAAAAACATCTGTCTCTCATTCAGGGAGGGATTTAGGCACCTTGAGGTAGACCACGTCTGCTCATTCCTAGTTCCTGGAAGAGTGTGCTGGCCCACTTGACATCTTATAAGCACAGGATATTGTTTAGATCCCTAGATTCTTCCCCAAACCCAATAAATCTCAAGATCGCCTAATAATGAGAATCCCAGTCCCACTCCCTAAGTCTACTCTAGTTATAGAAGTAGGCAGGGAAACTCTCTAAGCATAATGGGAGTGTGGAAATGAGAGCGGAACTACCCAGGGAACAACGGAAAGGCAACCAGGGCCAGCCTGGCCCCCTGTGGGAGTGTCAGTTTGCTTAAAGGGATGAGTGACTATTAGGCAAACATTGTTTCATCTGGAGATGAGCAAACCTAGGGCATTAGAATGAACCTCCTAGACCTGTCCCGTGACAGAATGGGCTGGTGGTGGAGGGACTCCTCAGACATATACCGTCTCAACATCTTAGGGCTCTGTGTTCTGAGTACAAGAGGGTAAAGCTCCATTATAGAACAGTCCTTTTCAGGATATGGGCCAATGGGATATTTTTCCTGAGGTTCCTTTCCCTCTTCCTCAGCTTGGACACAATGAGAAATAGTAAGACGTTTCACCTTCATTTGCTTTTGTGCACACGAGACAGTTTTGCTCAGTGGTGAAGGCCACCTGGAGTCAAGGTGTCTAGATTCATTACTAGAACTAGAACTAGAACTAGAGTTTGCCGCTTGCCAGCTGTGTGATCGTGGACTAGCTAATTCACCGTTCTAAGCTACATTTTCTTACCTATGAGTCAGGCAGTAATAGGACTTCCCTCATGGGGTTGTGGTGAGATGAAATGGGATAATGCATGTAAAGTATGTTTCATTGAAGAGCATTCAGTAATTGTGGGTGTTGCTTTCATGATGTGTGACAAGTCCCTCCTTCTGTGCAGCTGGCAGTCTGCACTGCGCTGATCTGTAGCTGAAGCCCTTCCCCATTCTAACATTTCCCAGTGAGCACCAAGAGGTGCCTCATGTCATGACTCTTACTGTGCAGCTGCTGAGGCAGGGTGTTCTGCTGTGAGCTTCAGGCCAGGGCAATCTAAGTAGTCCCACCTTAGGGCCCAGGTCAGGGAGCCCTGGACAAGCACAGAGCCTGGCAAAGCCTCTTGGGCAGTAGGCATCCAGCCCTTCCATAGGAGGGACCGACCTGTGTGGGCAGAGAAGAGATTTTTGGAAGGGGCTCACTTCCTCTCAGCTCTCTTCTAGTTCTGTATCACATG